TCAGCGTGGATATTTGAACTTGGTGCTGGCCTTTGTTTTGATTGGCCGGCGCAGGATGATGTCACTCCAGTGCATGCAGGGGAATACAGTCATCCCAGCAGGCTGGCATTGGGCTGGAATGTAAACTGAGCTGTGCACATGCAGCTCAGTGCTCATTCAGGAGAAGATTGCGAATGAGCAGGTAAGTGTGCATTATTGCAGAAGAGGCATTGAAGAGATGCTTGCCTGCTCACATCTTGTATTCTGTTTTACGTTTAGTTCCACTTTATCCTCAAAAGTTTTTACAACCCATTATACCCATAGGATCCATTCAGACATTACGACACAGATGTTAATATGTAGTATTTGGTAAATTAAAGAATAACTAACGGGCAACATTTATTCATTTTATAATAGAGTAGAGAAAGATTAGAACACCTGTCAGTTTTTAATTGTTGTCTGTACTCCTGTAAGGAAGATTCACCTTCTCTATTTGTCCTATTGACCATTATCGCTTTCTCATTTTTGGTTTTGGCTATGGGACAGTAAAGGGAAATCTTCCCAAAGCGTTATAACCCTCCCTTACTTTATGCAAAATTAAAAAAAGATCTATTTTAACATGTGCTGCCTATTAATATTGAATGGGCCACAGAGGCGGACTGACAACTCATGGGACCCCCAGGCAATAGGGGATCATGGGGCCCCTGTGTCCTTGCCCAAACTCAAAAAAGCCTATGAAAAAGGTACCAGGGCATCTCATGGGGCACCCTACTGACCCTGGGCCCTCGGGCAGTGCCCGAGTTCCCAAATGGTCAGTCCGCCCCTCATGGGCCTCCATCCCACTGCAATGCATGTAATGGATTTTGCACTATTTGTTTAATGCACTAAAATGCATACGCGCTATGGTGCGCTGGCTAATGTAGATATGTTAAGGTGCCCATAAATAAAAATGCCACAGCAATGCACTTACACCAACATGGCTATTTTCCAACTGGTTACTGCAATGCTTAAGTGTGACTGGACTATTAAAGCCCACCAAAAACACATTAATTTTGGGTGAATGCATGTCATGAAAAAGGCTCATCCCTACTTATGATTGTCTGCACTCCTAGTTCTGATGAAGACTGGCTCTAAGGTGGCAAGGAGGATGAAGGGTTAGCTCAGGGCCTGATGGGATGGAAAGCTAGATACTGTTGCTAGGAACAAAGTAAGAAGAAAAATGCTGATCTTTTATTATAATGGGAAATACAGACTAAGATTTATATGAAGTACAGCAGCAGAGACTTGGCCTGTGGCTGGTTTTATCTGATGTACATACTAATAGGGACAAATAATGATTATTTTATAATGTATAGCTGTAAGGTATAGAGGCAGAGTGTTGTGTAATGTAGCGCAGTGGAAAAGAAGTTGTTTCTTCACTGAGGACTAAAGACTTTCAATCATTTATATTTGAAAAGGTTAGTGGCAGGGGATTTATAATGTACAGCAGCAAAAGAAAGAAATAGTGTATTTGTTTAGACTGGTAGATGAGTGTTATATCATGTACAACCATGGGGACTCAAGGTAGATCATTATAAAATGCACAACAGTGTGATTTGGAAGGTAGGTGTTATGTAACGAGTATCTTCCGAGATTGTTATATAATTTGCAGTCACTGTGTTTCTTATAATGTAGAAGTATGGAAATGTACATTAGTGGGGGATCGGAAGGTGAATATTATATACAGGGATGTCTGCTTGTACATTATTCACAAATTCATCATTCTAGTTTAAGATTTGGGGCTCATCTTTGAACTATATTTACAGTAACCCAGCTAGCCTTTTTTTTACTTTTTACATTTGTGTACCACCCTCCTAAGAAAGCTAGGGGGAGCTAGTTAATTATTTTTGTAGTAAGAGGCTGAATAGCAGCCTGGTGCAATAGTCAGAGGGTCAGAATTGGGTCAGGGCTGAGAGACTCTGCAGATAAGCTCTCTGAAACCTCCCCTTGACTTGGAGAAGTCTCTAGAACTCAGTGGGTGGGTGGGGGGGGGGGAGAAGTGGCTGGTCTGTATGTCTAAAGAACCTCAACCAATCCCCAAGCAAGAGACTTGGAAAAGAGTTGGGACAGCCTTTAAGCATAGCTGAGTCTGCTCAATAGCAGGTGGAGTTCAGGTGGAAAATGTGAGAGCAGGATCTGGAGCATGGAGCCTGGGAGGAAGCCCAGGGAAGGGGCCCTCCTTCAGGGAGGAGCTGACAAGAGGAAAGCTGGATCTCGCCATCCCCCTGAGAGAGGACCATCTGTGGAGCATAGGAAGGAGCTAGCCCAGCAGAAGGTCTGAAAGCAGCCAGCAGCCTGCAGCTTGCAGAAGAGGAACAGTGAGTACTTTACACCTCCTGGACGGAAGCAGGGGAGAGGGCATTTGGGTAGGAAACCTAACTAGCCCCAGCTGGACTGTGCTTTTAAAGTGTCAGATGCTAGATCACCTTGTCCAGAGATTTCTACACCAGGAGAGGCTGGAGAGCTCTATATAGTTACAGGACGTTGTCCTCAGTTAAACAGTTCCTTGGGCATCCCATGTATCCCTCATCCCCATCCATGTTTGCATTCCCTAATAATATCCCAAAAAAAAACAAGTTCAAGGACTCTTTACTGTCTCTGGAGTGCAAGTCTGGAAGGAATTGCCTCACTGTGTAGGACTATTGGTGGACCCAAAACTTCAGCAACTCCTAAATGGATAGTGCAACATTTGGATTCAGGAAGAAAGGTTTTATGGCTAGAGGGAGAGAAATTCTTCCTTCTTACATGTAGCCCTTTATATTATTTAAAATGAGGCCTGGTATTGTCTTAAATTTAGATTGTGATACAAAATAGTATGATCCACTGTTATATGCACCCCTACCCAAAACTATACTTTACATTGTTGTGTAGCAGGCGTGCTTGCTTGCTTTTTAATCCATTCCTGCCCAGGCCTAGGAGTAATGACCTTACCTAAACAGCAAATCATCTGGGCACAGGGCACCCTAGGGGACTATTCTACTCTCCCTTGTGTGTGTGGGGATGGTTACCATAGCCTAACTACTTGTTGCCTGTCTTCTGCACACTTTCTTCAGGCCTTAAACCAACAGACCTCGCTCTGCCCCTTGGGCACAAATTTAATTTCCAGAAGACAGGAGACATCCCTATTTAGTGGTTTGAAGAAGGAGGATTCCACACCAGCAATGCCTCTTTTAGCAGTTTACTGAATCAACAGAAGCAAAGATATTTACAAACGTCAACCAGCCCATAAAGGTGACAGCACTCAGCTTAAGGTATAAACAGACCAACATAGTTCAAAGAGATGTAGCATGAGAGGAAAGACGAGAGGCCTGCTCCTCATAGAAGGTGTGTCCCAGAGTTTGGATTCTCAAAGTCCCAAATAACAACCAGAACAGTGCTACTTGAGATGGATCTGAGATTTGTTCACTTAAAAACACACAACTTGCTGGATTCAAAACAGCATGGCTTAACTGAGGGCAAATCATGTCAGACTAATATGACTGGAATTTTTTTACTGTATTACCAATGTTTTGGAACAGGGTGGTGATGTGGACATATCATATCTTTATTTCAGCAAGGCATTTGATACAGTTCCACATAATGATCTTATACAAACGTTGTACAAACTAGGACTTAGCCCTTGGGTGGTTCAGTGGATATGCAGCTGGCTGAAGGATACAGTAGATACCAGAGTGTGGTTGTAAATGGGGTTCACTCGGAAAACAGACCAGTCACTAGAGGTGTACTACAAGACTCTGTACTAGGTCCTGTTTTTTTTAATCTATATGTAAGTGATATACCTATATGTAAAATAATGCTCCTAGGGAAAAATAATCTATTGAGAGAGTACAACATTGGGGGCACATTGTTAGCCAGCACTTCAGAGGAAAAGGCTTGGGTGTACTTATTTCAGATGATTGCAAAATGAGCAAACAGTGTGGCCAGGCAGTGGGGAAAGCGAATAGAATTCTAGGATGCATCACTAGAGGGGTCACCAACAGGAGGAAGAAGATCCTGATTCCCCTATTATTATTATTATTATACAGTATTTATAAAGCGCCAATAGTTCGCTCAGCGCTGTACATTACAAAGGGGGACAGAACATGTGACAGAACAATACCAATACAATGCAAAACATGAGGGGATCGAGGGCCCTGCTCTTTCGAGCTTACAATCTTACAATAGATCTTTAGTTAGACCTCATTTAGAATACTGTGTCCAGTTCTGGAGACCTCACTTACAAAAAGATATTGATAAGATAGAACGAGTCCAGAGACAGGTAACACAAATGGTGAAAGGTCTGGGGGCTAAAACATGTCGAGAGCGACTTTAGGAGCTTAACACGTACAGTCTGTTGGAAAGATGGGGAAGGAGAGACATGGTTTAAACATGATTTAAATACATCAAGGGGGTGAATAAGATTCAGGAGGGCAGTATTTTCAACATGAAACGAAAATCAAGAACACGGGGACATGACCTTAAACTAACTGGAGGAAAGTTCAAAACTAATCTCAGAGAGTATTATTTTACAGAAAGAGTAGATGATGCTTGGAGTAAACTTCCAGCAGAGGGTAGTGAGCCAATCAACAGTAAATAGCTTAAAACATACGTGGGACAAGCATAGATCTATACTCAGACAAAAAATAAAATAAAAAACACATAAAAAAAAAAAAAATAACAACAATGACAAAAAACGGGCAGACTCGATGGACCACTTGGTCTTTTTCTGCCGTTACTTTTCTATGTTTCTGTGGATACTGACAGAAGATAGAATTTCTTTTTCTTTTATTACTGTTCTTTACTTCATGTTGCTGATTACATGGATGATTGTATTTATAGATTTGCCAGCATTAAACCACAGTCTTTAACCGCCTCCCGCCCGCAATATAGTACAATGACAGGCGCAAGGTGGTTCTCTCGTTTTGGGAGGACATCATATGAGGACCTCCCATTCTAACGCGCGCATGCGCGGCTCTGGGAGCACGCAGCGCGGTGATTGGCAGTGCGCTGTGTCCCTCGGATCGGATCACCGATCAATGGAAAGAGCCGAAGATGTTGGCTTGGTCATGTGATCAGCTGTGTCCAATCACAGCTGATCACATGTAAACAGGGAAATGCCGGTTATCGGCATTTCTCTCCTCACGAGCTGTCACTCTGACAGCTCGTGAGGATAGGAGAGCCAGTAATCTGCATTCCTCGAGGGGACATGTACACTGATCATCAGAGCACTGATGATCAGTGTGCCCTGATGATCTGTGTAGCCCCAGCAGTGCCACCTGTCAGTGTCCATCAGTGCCAGCTCTCTGTGCTCATCCATGCCAACTGCCAGTGCCACATCAGTGCCACATTTCAGTGCCTACCAGTGCACATCAAAGCCACATATCAGTGCCCATCTGAGTTGCCTTTCAGTGTCACCCATCAGTTCCAGTCAGTGCCACCTATCAGTGCTGCCAATCAGTGCCACTGATCAGTGCCAGTCAGTGCTGACTATCAGTGTGCATCAGTGCCGCCTATCAGTGCCCGTCAGTGCTGCCTATCAGTGCCGCCTAACAGTGCCAGTCAGTGCCACCTAATAGTGCCAGTCAGTGCCGTCTATCAGTGCCAGTCAGTGCCGCCTATCAGTGACGCCTATCAGTGCCATAATCGAGTTCTGCCTTTTCAGTGGTTTTTGGTTTGTTTAAGAAAAAATATAAAATCCAGAGGTGATTAAATACCACCAAAAGAAAGCTCTATCTGTCTAAAAATATGATACAAATTTCATATGGGTACAGTGTTGTCATTCAAAGTGTGACAGCGCTGAAAGCTGGAAATTGGCCTGGGCAGGAAGGGGTATAAGTGACCAGTAGGCTAGTGGTTAATAGGAGATTAGCTGTATTTACTTAATTTATGTGTAATTTTGTACTTTTTGAACTGATCTCCTGCTTTGCATCATAATAATCCCAAAATGACATGTATATGTTGTGTAAAAAGTACAGTATATATATATATATATATATATATATATATATATACATACAGCAGGGGCAGACTGACCATTCGAGAACTCGGGCATTGCCCGAGGGCTGGGGGTCAGTAGGGGGCCCCATGAAATGCTCCTGGTACCTTTTTATAGGTTTTTTTGAGTGTGGGCAAGGACACCGGGGCCCCATGATCCCCTATTGCCAGGGGCCCCATGAGTTGTCATTCCGCCCCTGGCATACAGTATATATATATATATATATATATATATATATATATATATATATATATATATATATATTTGTGCTCAGACATTTGCATACCCTGTCAGAAATCATGAAAATGTTGGCACTGATAGTAAAAATATGACTTATCATGCCATAAAACTGTCTTTCTGTCTTTTAAGGATAGTGATCAAATGAAGTCAATTGTTATCACATAGTTGTTTTGCTCCTTTTTAAATCATAATGATAACAGAAATCACCCAAATGGCCATGATCAAAAGTTTACATACCCTGGAATGTTTTGCCTTGGTATAAACACACAAAGTGACACGCACAGATTAAACTGGCAATTAAAGGTTAAATTTCCACATCTGTGCCTTTTTAAATTGCAATTAATGGCTGTGTATAAATAGTAAAATTAGTTTGTTAGCTCTCACATAGATGCACTGAACAGGCTAGATACTGAACCATGATGGGCAGAAAAGAACTATCAAAATACCTGCCTAACAAGGTAATGAAATTTCATAAAGATAGAAACGGATATAAAAGATATCCAACGCTGTGAATAGGCCAGTCAGTAATGTTCAATTACTTATTAAGAAGTGGAAAGTTTGGATATCTCTTGATACCAAGCCAAGGTCAAGTTGACCAAGAAAGATTGCAGCCACAACTGCCAGTAGAATTGTTTGGTATATGAAGAAAAACCCACCAGTAACCTCAGGAGAAATAAAGACTGCTTTGGAAAAAGACAGTGTGATTGTTTTAAAGGAGCCCAACACGACAATACTTGAACCAAAATGAGCTGCATAGTTGAGTTGATAGAAATAAGTCTTTACTGCACCAATGCTGTAAAAAAAGCCTGGTTACAATATGCCTGACAACACCTCACTGGGCTTTTTTGTGGCATTGGTGCAGTAAAGGCTTTCTTTACATCACATGTCCCAATCAGAGTGCCTCCTTACATCAGTGTTCCCCTATCATTGTGCCTCCATATATCAGCTGCCCTATCAGAGTGCCCTATCATTGTGACCCCTTACATCAATTGTCACTCCTCTTCCCCCTTGGACTCTCAGCTTATCCTTCCTCTCCAGTGATATGATAAGCAAAATGACAAGGGGAAGAGAGAAAGGACAGTCTGCCTTCACTCCACAGCCCCACGCTGAGACTGAGATGAGATCTCAGTCTCAGTGCAGACAGAGTGATAAAGAGGTAATGTCAAAACAAAGTGGTATTTTAAACATCTTAAAAGAACTGTAATTTACTTATTTAATAGTAAATGCAACTGGGCCACTGGGTTACTTCTGTAACTGCTAGACAGTTTTGGAGGGGATGGGAAGGACAGAGCAGGGCTTTTACATAATTTCCCAATGTAGAGGGCTCTGGGCAGAGCTAGGTGTGGCTGTTCACTGATAGGATTATCAATGGTGCCAGCATCTAAGCAGCTTTATTTTATTACAGGTACTTATACAGCGTTGTCAATTTACGCCGCGCTTTACATATATATTGTATATTCACATCAATGTGTGACCCTCAAGGGGTGTACAATCTAAGGTCCCTAACTCACATGCATATATACACATACAAGGGCCAATTTATACAGGATCCAATTAACCTACCAGCATGTCTTTGGAGTGTGGGAGGAAAACAAAGTCCCTGGAGGAAAACCATGCAGGCACAGGGAGAACATGCAAACTTCAGGTAGGTAGTGCTGTGGCTGGGATTCGAACCAACAAACCTAGTACTACCAGGCGGAAGTACTGATTTCACTGTAGAAGGAAGAGGGTTGCTACGCTATCAAAGGAAGTTCCTTTCCAATGGCTTTACTGTTAGGATCACCAGGTATTTGCAAAATGTTCCAGAAGGAATGCAAAAAAAAAACAGAGAGCCTGGTCTTACTGGTATAGGCAGCTTACATTACATATGTGATTTTAAAGTTTTGCTATTGTTCTACTTTGAAGTAAATCTCTCATATGACTGGTGCAGTTGCTGACCTAATCCTGAAAATGTTACTTGCCTGGGTGTCATGTTGACACCTGGCTTTGAAATTTTCTAAGTCATGGACTCAGAACCCTATGGAGAAGAAGACAATCTTAAGTCTGTATCTGCATATTTGTTCTGAGCCTTTACCTCAAAGTATTGAGACATGAGGATTATGGAAACTCATGTAGCACCCTGCTATAAATGTCTAATGCAGGATGTTGAAGCCAACACAAGATGGCCGATTCTGCAGAACAGTAGCAGCCACATGTTCAAGAACAGCCATATGGAACTTGTATACTGAATTGCATGACTTTACTAAAGAACAGTGCATCTGGGAACTACATTTCCCAGAGGAGCTTGCATGTGGGTGGGGGCATATATAACTAAAAGCCCGGGAAACTGACCAGGAAGTGAGAGGGGAGAGATCAAGAGAGGAGGAAGTGTGCTGAGGGCCGGAGTGTTGAACAAGGCCGCGGAGCCAGAGTCAGAGAGGGAGAAAAGCGGAAAGAGCCTGCTGACCGTCAGTCTTGCCACGCTGTGCAGTGAGTCAATCTGAAAGCAGGAAACCCAACTTGTCGCTGAATCAGGACCAGAGAGTCCGTGGGGGACCCCCATCTGAAGGGAAAGATGGATCACTAAGATCTGCTGGACACTAGGTCAGAGAGTCCCATACACCCATTAGCTAAGAGAATATTGACAACTCCATCACATTTGCTATCTGCCTGCTCATAGTTGCAGACATTACACTTAGTTACCCTAGTTTGCGGCCTAGTTCTCCCAGCCACAACACATTTGCATTACAGTCTCCTCTTCCAAGCTGACCACAGGATACACAGCTGTAGGCCAGAATACAGCAGTGCCAACTGAAACAGCAATTTACCTTCCCCTGTTGAACGGGATTTCTACTACTGTCACCCAGAGAGAGAGAGTTGTTCTTGCTTACGCTTATGCCAATTGCTACACTTTACTACTTCAAATCTGTCCTTGTTCAGGACCTTAAAGGGGACATTACATCATTTTACCACCATTAACCACTTGCCTACCGGACACTTTTACCCCCTTCCTGCCCAAGCCACTTTTCAGCTTTCAGCACTGTCACACTTTGAATGACAATTGCGCGGTCATGGAACACTGTACCCAAACATTATCATTCTTTTTTGAGACATATAGAGCTTTCTATTGGTGGTATTTAATCACCACTGGGATTTTTATTTTTTGCTAAACAAACTAAATAATAATAATAATAATACTGAAATTTAAAAAAAAAGAAAGGTTTTTTCTTAGTTTCTGTTATAAAATTTTGTCAATACGTAATTTTTTTCTTTTACTGATGTGCGCTAATGAGGCTGCACTGATGGGCACTGATAGGTGGCACTGATGGGCACTGATGAGGAGGCACTGATAGGTGGCACTGATGGGCATTGACAGGCCTCACTTGTGGGCATTGACAGACATCACTGATGGGCACTGAAAGGCAGCACTCATATATGCCACTGATAAGCGGCACTGACTGGCACTGATAGGCAGCATTGATTGGAACTGTTAGATGGCACTGATGGTCACTGATAGGCAGCACCAATGGGCACTGATAGGTGTCACTTCCACTAATAGGCAGCACTAACTGGCACTGATTGGCAGCAATAATAGGTGACACTGACTGTCACTGATAGGTGGCACGGACTGGCACTGATAAGCGCCACTGAAAGGCAGTTCTGATGGGCACTGACATGTGGCATTGATGTGTACTGGTAGGCACTGATATGTGGCACTGATGGGCACTGATATGTGGCATTGATGGGCATTTACAGGTGGAACTGATGAGCACTGACAGGTGGCACTGATGGGACTACACTGATCATTAGGACACTGGTCATCAGTACTCTGATAATCAGTGTAGATGTCGCCTCTGAGGAATGCCGATTACCGGCTCTCCTCTCCTCACAAGCTGTCAGCGGGAGGAGAGGACTGCCAATAACTGGCATTTCCTTGTTTACATGTGATCAGCTGTGATTGGACACAGCTGATCACATGACAGAGCCAACGTCATCAGCTCTTTACAGTGACCGGTGATCCCTGGGACACAGCGCACCACCAGTCGTAGTGCCACGCACCTCCGAGGGCGCACATGCGCAGTTAGAGTGGGAGGGATGTCATATGACGTCCTCCCAGAACGAGAGAACTGCCACCTGCCCGGCATTACCTTTTATGGCGGGCAGGATGCGATTAAGAGAAGATCTTATTAACTATCATCTAAACCTTAGATCATCTTCACATCACTTAGGCCCCAACTAGCACGCAGAAAACTCCATATTGTTCTTAAAGGGACATTGATTGATTATAGACAGAGTTCTTTCCATTTTCAAATCTAATCCTTGCCATCAGGTACTGAGGACCCGCAGTGAGCTTACCTGTTTATTCATAGTTGTTCTCGCTCGCTAGGGATTCAACAGTCACCTCAGATTGGAGGCAGTGGATTATTTCTGAAAGCAGGCTTGCT